GCATGTCCCTTCACAAATTTGGGAGGATATTTCTATGGATTTCATCACTGGTTTGCCTAGTTCTCACTCTTACACCGCTGTGTTTGTTGTTGTTGATCGCCTTTTAAAGTATGGTCACTTTACAGCTCTTAAAAGTGATTATTCTGCTGTTAAAGTTGTTGAGATTTTTATGAATACTATTGTTAAGTTGCATGGTTTCCCTAAGTCAATTGTTTCCGATCGAGACAAGATTTTCACAAGTCAATTCTGGCATCATCTATTTAAATTGAGTGGAACTACATTAGGCATGAGCACGACTTACCATCCTTAAACGGACGGTCATTCGAAAGCGGTCAACAAATGCTTAGAGATGTATCTGCGTTGTTTCACAAGGGAAAATCCTAAAGATTGGTCACGACTGCTACCTTGGGCAGAATTGTGGTACAACACATTTTTTTAACACAGTATTGGCATGTGTCCTTTCAAAGCAGTCTCTGGCAGGGAACCCCCGATGCTCATCAAGTATGATATGAGCCCTATAGATTCCCCTTCACTCTAAAGTTTACTGCAAGAATGCGATTCTGTGTTGGCCACACTCAAGGTTAACTTGCTTAAAGCACAACACACCATGAAGAAATTTGCTGACACCAAGCGCAGGTTCTTGGAATTTAAGATAGGTGACTTGGTTTTGGTTAAACTTCAGTCGTATCGCCAACACTCGGTGACTCTTCACCGTAATCACAAGCTCGATCTCCGATACTTTCGCCCTTTTAAAGTCATTGAGAAGATTGGCTCTGTCGCTTATAAGTTGTTGCTTCCACCTACGACCAAAATCCTTCCCGTCTTTCATGTGTCAACCCTGAAACCATGCAAAGGTGATCATGATATGCACTACGTGCCACTTCCCTTGACCAGTAATGAATTCGGTCCAGTTCTGCTGCCTCGCACCATCATACAAACCAGAATTGTGCTTCACCAACAGGTTCCTACACCTCAAGTTTTGGTACAATGGGATGACTTACCGGTGTCTGCTGCAACTTGGGAAAATTGGTCTGAATTCAAAGACAACTATCCTAATCTTAACCTTGAGGACAAAGTTAATTTCAATGGGGGAGTAATGTAATGATTGAAATTAATCATGAGGACACAAAAGACAAAATGACAAACTTGGATGCAAATAACTACCAAGGACAGGTGGCAAGTGATTCGAATTTAGAGCAATTGAGGAGAGGCGCAAGAGAAAGAATGCCAAACAGAAAATACACATAAGAAGGGCAGGAATAATTAGGGATGGAGTGTGAAATATTTCTGGAAACTTACTCCTTCTCTCTCTGTTGTGGTTGAGTAGTACTCACATTTCTATCATTACATTGTATTTAAATTCCTCAAAATGGCTAGCAGCTGTACTTGTTAATTTTACAGTGTGATATTGTTTATTCTGAGTGATATATTTCTGACCTTAACATTGAACTTGAAATTACAAGATTGATAAATAATGGAAAAATTAGCGTGTGGAGAGGGAGAGAGGAGTTGAGAGAGAGATTAATTGAGGCTGAGAACATTTTCTGTTATCATTGATTAGGAGGCCTCCAAGGCAAATAAACAAACATTACAAAATGATTGGGACACGAGTTATACAATTATATAACTAAAAAAATAGAATTCTCGGAGTTGTAACTGGTTACACTAAACCTATAACCGATTATAGCTGTTACAAAAAATAAAGCCATTCAGTCGTAACTGGTTACGTTAATCGGTTACGCCCACGATGAATCTTCAGTTTCTTCAACTCAGAAGTGATTTTCGCCCAATTATAACTGATTACACCTCGTGTTAGTCGGTTACAACATTTAAATTACCAATTTTCATGTAACATAAAAAAACTTTGTCTGATGGAAATGCTTAAAGCTTCAATTGTTGAATCATCATTTTCTGTTTTTGTAAAGATGCAGCCTTGTAGTGCGTAGCAAGAATTGTGGAATCTGTTGTAACCCAATTGAAACTTTATGTACTTGATGAATTCATGAAACGAAGGCAAGGAAATTATTTAGAAAGTTAGTTATAGCATTTAGCCTAGCTCTTTCTTTCATTTACTTAATGCGACCATAACATAAGCCTTTTGCAATTGAGACTATGAGATGTAAATTAGACATACCAGATCAAAGAAATTTAATTTCACAAACAATTGTTATTGAAGCTTTATCAACACATCAATATGACACAGTCTCAATTTATTAACATGAATCATGTATCAGTCTCTATGAAAGTGTCTTCCAATTAAACTCACATTCATTATAGCAGGATCAGCAGAAGCAAATGGATTAGGTGGCATACTTAACTTGCCTCCATCTCCTTCCAGCATATGAACAACAACTTGCATTGCAGGACGATCGACCGGGTGCCACTGAATGCACCAAAGTCCCGCAATCGCAAGTTTCTTTGCTATTTTCGCGTATTTCTCCACCTCAATATGTTCGCTCAAATCATCTCCTTGCTCTAGCAAATTATAAATCCATTCTGGAAAATATCCTAAACCACTTCCCTTGTCTACAACATCAACATTTTGTCTTCCCCCAACCATCTCAAGCAACAACATTCCAAAACTATATACATCAGACTTATACGACACGTTCCCGAAGTTTCTAGAAAAAACTTCAGGTGCTATGTAACCAATAGTCCCCCTAGCCGCGGTCATGGAAACCGCACTTTGATCCTTTGAACAAAGCTTAGCCAAACCAAAATCAGATATCTTAGGAGTGAAGTTATTGTCAAGTAAGATATTATGAGGCTTTATATCAAAATGAAGTATCCTTTGGTCACATCCCTGGTGAAGATACTCGATCCCTTTGGCTATTCCAAGCGCAATTTCTTGTAACTTCTCCCAACTCAAAAAATGGTTTTTGAAATCCGTCGTGGAAATATACTTCTGCAACGAACCATTCGGTAAATACTCGTAAACAAGTGCTCGCTTGTGTCCGTCTGCACAGAAGCCTACCAAGTGAACAACATTAACATGATGAATTTGACTCATCGTTCCTACTTCATTGATGAACTCCGGTCCGTTTCCTGTCGAAGCTTTGAGAAGCTTGACTGCGACATATATGTCGCTAGATAGTTTACCTTTGTACACCGTTCCGTATGCGCCTTGCCCAAGTTCGTTCTTGAAATTGTTTGTGATCCTTTTTATGTCTGAATAGCTATACCTCGTAGGTTTCAATGCTCTATAATCTTCTAAGAACTTTTCTATTCTTGCTTCATTTTCTTTGTCTTTTTGAGTTGTGTATCGAAGACGATATAACACTGTGACTAGTAGTACAATTCCAAGACATGATAGTATCGGTACTGCACAAATCAGAGTAAACAATTAATCAAAACCTCCAAGATATTTTACACTGTCAACCAAACACAACCGTTATATCATAAAAAAATGGTTGTAATTTGTTGGCGGTGTATGACTTAAACCTTGATAATAGTAATGATGAAGATGATGATAATAGAATCAAAGAAAACATGATTTCTGAGTAATTGTCACCTAGAATCTCCATTTTTCTCCCTGTTCCTGTAAAAAGAATCAAAAACCTTTTAGTTATTGAATTGGTTTCTTAAAATAACTATTTCTATAAGACGTTTCATTTTGAAATAGGCTTAATTATAGAACAAAATATACCTTTAGGTTCCTTGACAGTGTTGTGACATTCATGTTTTGTTTCACTTTGATTTCGACAACTTGTATCCCATCCTAAAACAAAATCATCACCATGGCTAAAAACAACATCGTCCGGAACAAAAGACATGTCATACAACTTAGTACAATATGTCAAAGTAACATCCTTAATTTGAAGTGAAGAGTCCAATGCATAAACTTGGTGTCCATGAGAAGAAAGACATTTAATGGAAGGGTAAAAAGATTGTAAAGCAGTGTTCATGGATGAACAATTGAAGAGGGTATAATTGGAAATTGACTTGGAATTGTGAATGAAATGAAAAGGAGTGGATGATACATTGAATTTTGAAAGGAGTTTTGGAAGACATCTATTTGGGTCAGTCACATGAATGTTTTGGGACTTGTAATCAATTTTGTTGACAAAAAAGTTGATTGAAGTTGGAAATTTTAGTATGGTTTGGTGATTCTTATTGCATGAAAGATCAAACCCAGTTTTTCCACAATTTTGTGGTTGAATGTTTTGAAGTCTAAAAGGGTATTGAATTATTGGAGCATCTTTGTGATTGCACCTTGTTTTTATGCATTCAGTATTGGCTGAAGCAAGGTTAGCGTTGTAATTTGCACTCAAAACGAAGCAAAAGAATGGAAGAAAAAGTGTAGAGTAATTGCTCCACATTGTGTTCTATAATTTGGTTTTGGCTATGCATTCATTATGCAGACTAGGCTTGTGTATATGAAATTATAGTAATGTTTGTGAATTGTTTTTGAATGTCAACCACATTTTTTAAAGGGTATAATGTCAAGCACCTTATTTAACATTATGTATAGCTACCTCACTGACTATGAAAGCAAGACTTTAATATTCATGTAATAAAAGCATATAGGAAGATAAAGTCAAGGTGGTGAGGCTGTTTAAGGTGTTTTACAAGATTTGAAAAATAATTGTCAAAAGAATAAGATTGAATAGTTACGTGAATAGTGTGTTATTTTCTTCAATGCTAGCTCAATAGTTGACATTCGTTTAAATCTTTCATAAACATAAAAATAATCCAACCATTGAATTTCAAATACAATTTTATCAAAGTCAACACTATTTCTTACACCTATTAGCCCCCAAGCATGCTTGCTCACGTATGAATTTGATGTATATGTTCTGAAAAACTAAACTATGAAATTAAGAAACTCTTAAACCAATCAAAAATCAAACTTCAAAGAGTCATTGAGTTTAGCATATTCGCATAGTAATGGCATCAATTTTTGTCAATGATGTTCAACAACACAACACTTACATGAACCTTTTCTCATGTCTCAACTTTGTGTTTATATCACATCTTCTCACATCTTCTCCTTTTCAACCATGTCTTGGAAAATGCCTGTGAACCTAACTCTTATAATGATGCTCCTATGCCTATTATACCCTCTTCCTTGCCTAACACAAACAAATCATCAATGTCTCCTTTCATCTTGCGGCGATATACGAAACATCACCTACCCTTTTCGTCTACAAGGTGAACCCAAAAACTGTGGAGATCCAAACTATGAACTTTCCTGCGAGAACAATCAAACAATACTAAATCTAGACAATGGAAAGTACTTTGTAGAAGCCATCAACTACAATAACTCCACAATAAGGATCAAAGATTCAGGTGTCAACAAACACAATTGCTCTTCCATTCCTCTCTACACTTTAACAAATGAAAGTTTCACTATTGGAAAGCCTTATAGCTTGTTAAATGAGAATAACAACTTAGTAACCGTAGCGTTTATAAGCTGCGCAGCCTCGGTTATTTCTCCTATTTACATGGATACTTCATCTTGTATCAAAGGATCATTCAACTCTTCCAACTATGCTGTGTTTGGTGACTTGAAGATCTCTGAGCTGGAAGATTCATGCAGCATACTTGTTATGGTTATGATTTCAAATTTGAACAAAGGTAATAATAATAATAATAATAATAACAAGGTTTCATATGTGAAAATCCATCAGCAACTTGTTTATGGCTTGGAGCTTTCTTGGAGTGAGATATTCTGCAAAGAGTGTCAAGGTAGGGGATACTGTAAGTTGAACAACAAAAATGAGGTCATTGGTTGTTCACGAGGTCGACCATGTAGTCGTGACGATATATCCTCTTTTAAATGTAAGTATAGTATATCTTTCCTTCTCTAACTATATATATACTTTTTGATTGATTTTGTAAATCTTAGTTAGAATTCGAATTGAAACTAATTCGACCCGACAGTAAAATAACAATCTGTTGAAATATTTTTGTAAAGCTTTCTCCTTTAACAGTTTGATTATATATTTTGGACATCCACAGGTGCTTTAAAAGTGGTCATCCAAGCAGCCAAAGATGTGACTGAAGGTCCTCACAAATTAAGCGGTATCATCGGTACGTTTTTAAAATGGTAGTTAAGTTGTGCAGTTCAAATTTTGCTTAGATGGTTCTTCTTAACATATCTGTTTTTACTTTTTCAATGTAGGAATAATTCTTCTTATAAGAATCATAGGAGGATTACTATTTATACCAATGTACATGATATATAAATGGAGAAGGAGGCATTTATCTGCGTATGACTCGGTTGAAGAATTTCTCAAAACTCACAACAATCTCATGCCAATAAGATACTCTTACTCAGACATTAAAAAAATGACAAAAGGATTCAAGGATAAACTCGGAGAAGGTGGCTACGGTTCTGTTTACAAAGGACAACTTCGCAATGGTCACCTCGTAGCAATCAAGATGCTAGGTGGAAAATCGAGAGCAAATGGACAAGAATTCATCAATGAGGTTGCTACCATTGGAACAATCCACCATGTTAATGTAGTTCACCTGATTGGCTTTTGTGTCGAGAAATCAAAAAGAGCGCTTGTTTATGAGTTCATGCCTAATGGTTCTCTTGAGAAACACATTTTCTCAAGAGAAAGAATGGGTTCTTTGAGTTGTGAGAAAATGTTTGATATAACGCTTGGTGTAGCGCGCGGTATTGAATATCTGCATAGAGGTTGTGACATGAGGATTTTGCATTTTGACATAAAGCCTCATAACATTCTTCTTGATGCGAACTTTACTCCAAAGGTTTCGGATTTTGGACTAGCAAAGTTATATCCAATTGACAAAAGCATTGTGTCGCTTACCGCTGCAAGAGGAACCATGGGATACATGGCGCCGGAGTTGTTCTATAAGAACATTGGAGGAGTATCATACAAAGCAGATGTTTATAGCTTTGGAATGTTGTTAATGGAAATGGTGAGTAGGAGAAAGAACATGAACGAGAACGAAGATCGCAAGAGCCAAGTTTATTTCCCTTCTTGGGTTTACGATCAATTTAGCGAAGGGAATGAAATTGAAATGGGGAATGGTACAGAAGAGGAGGAGAGGATATCAAAGAAGATGATAATAGTTGCGCTATGGTGTATACAAATGAAACCAAGTGATCGTCCTTCGATGAACAAAGTAGTCGAGTTGCTTGAAGGAGATGTTGAGGCCTTAGAAATGCCGCCAAAGCCATTTCAAACTCCAAAAGGAATGGCTGGACAAGGCATTGGACAATTCAGAAATCTACCTTGGTTGTTACCCGGGGAATCTACAAATTCACTTACCATTGTTATAAATAGACGATGAAAGATGTTTATCACATCGTCTTTGCTCCAATCCAAGGGTGTACAGTGCTCGAAAATCAACCCGGACGCCACCATTTTGCACCGGGAAATGGTTGTGTAGGATTGATCGTTGGAGACGATGAAAGACGTTTTTGCCTTGCAAGGAGGAAGAACACTCTAGGTTGCGTTATGCTATGGAAGTTAGAAATTTTTCCTTCATTCTATCATATATACATATATCCCCAAGCATTTTATAAAGTTAAAAAACAAATTTTTCCTTCCAAAAGTCACATGCTATAACACTAAACTAAACTAGTATAAGATTTGAAAGAGAGCGGATATGGTTAACTTTGTAGAGTCTAGGAGATTCGGGGTATTAATGAATTAAGTATTTAGAATTCAACGATATTAAACATTAATTCAATGAATATTAAACCCTACATGTTCATTTAAAGCTTTAAGGTTTTTTATTTATTTTAAAGTTTAGTCTGTTTACATTTTGGACTCTCCCAATAAGTGTATCAGAGTTATAGTTTGTTTAATATGGAAGTCAAAAGTGAGATTTTAATTTGGACTCTCCCACTGATCAGGAAGATTCAAATTTGATTTGATGTATTTATCTCATTCAACAACTGATAAAATCTTTGCATTTTCTCATTCCGCAACTCTTCCCCATCAAAATCTTCAAGTTTGTCATAGGTCATCCACGGTTGTGAATCGATGTCGTCAATAACAAATTAAAGTTATGAGATAAAGATTGAGTTTTTTGAACAAACACAAAAAAACCCTATTAGTGTTCACAAAGGAAAAAGAGAAGAAGGAAGAAGAAACTTTTACACACAGACTCGTTACAAAAGCTAACTTAGAAAACAAACTAACTTAAATAATTGAGTTTACAAGCAATACCCAATTAGTTACAAGTTAATATATTTCTACATCATGAAACAAAGAAAAAAGAGAAGAAGGAAGAAGAAGCTTTTACACACAGACTCATTACAAAAGCTAACTTAGGAAACAAACTAACTTAAGCAATTGAGTTTACAAGCAATACTCAATTAGTTACAAGTTAATATATTTCTACATCATGCGACATCATGCTTGAACAAACTTCGACTACAACATGCACAACTCTGACAAAATATCAAGCTACCCTTGTCGACACTAGAGTCAGATCCAAAATACCATAAATCTCCACCTTGGAACAAACTCTACACAAAATAAACTAGCTTTCATCATCTTTGATCTTTACCGAAATCATTCACAACGGTGAATTTCTCAATCTCATACTTTGTTAACCACATCTTCTCCTCCACGCTCACCACACCACTTTGTTGTGAATCAATATGGTCAATAACAGAACAACGTTATGAGATAAAGATTGAGTTTCTTGAACAAACACAAGAAATCCTATTATGTTTCACAAAGGAAAAAGAGAAGAAGGAAGAAGAATAAAGAATTAGTTAAATCTGTTTTGCTATTCAGTTTTTTAATAAGAGTTCAAAGATTACAAGTGAATATTAACAATTAACCTCTCCCACCCTAATTAGGATTTTCACCACTCCTTACAAAGATGAGAGATTAACATGTTATTTATAAGAAAACTAACATACTAACCTAATGTACTTTTACACACAGACCCATTACACAAGATAACTTAGGGAACAAGTTAACTTAAACAATTGAGCTTACAAATAAGACTCAATTTGACATACTAACTTAAATTACAAGTTAATATATTTTGACAACATGTTTGAACAAACTTCGACTATAACATGCACAACTCTGTCGAAATATCAAGTTATCCTTGTCGACACTAGAGTTCAATCCAAAATACCACACCCACCGTCTCACCGATTAGATTAAAGTTTTCCCCATATTTCATCGGTGATCGACTACTTGAAGCATGCGTATTACTAGTCTCTGGTACGCTACTCAACAGTTCTTCTCCATTATATGTCCAAACCTAATAATTTTCAATGAAACCTCTTTTCTTAAAATGACGTTCTACTTCTTCTTGGTGACTAATTATAGATCGACATTCACATTTAAGATAAGTACATCTAACTCCTCGCTTCGACAATATTTCTGAAAAAATGTCCACGTGATAAACCATTTAACTCCTTTCTCAAAATTTAGTTTAAGTCTGCGTCATACAAAACCAATCAAAAAAATACATATATAGTTAAAGAAGGAAAGATATACTATACTTACATTTAAAAAAGGATATATCGTCACGACTACATGGTCGACCTCGTGAACAACCAATGATCTCATTACTGTTGTTCATCTTAAAGTATCCCCTACCTTGGCACTCTTTTCAGAATATCTCACTCCAAGAAAGCTCCAGGCCATAAACAAGTTGCTGATGGATTTTTAGATATGAAAGGTTGTTATCACCTTTGTTCATATTAGAAATCATAACCATAACAAGTATGCTGCATGAATCTTCCAACTCAGAGATTTTCAAGTCACCAAATACAGCATAGTTAGAAGAGTTGATCGATCCTTTCATACAAGATGAAGCATCCATGTAAATAGGAGAAATAACCGAGGTTGTGCAACTTTTGGGTTCGCCTTGTAGATGAAAAGGGTAGGTGATGTTTTATATATCGCCGCAAGATGAAAAGAGACATTGGTGATTTGTTTGTGTTAGGCAAGGAAGAGGGTATAGCCATAGGAGGATGATTATAACAGTTAGGTTCACAAGCATTTTCCAAGACATGGTTGAAAAGGAGAAAATGTGAGACAAGGTTCATGTAGGTGTTGTGTTGTTAAACATCATTGAAATTGATGGCATCACAAAATATTATGAACTTTCAAATTTTCTTATCTGAAAATTAAATCAATTGCCAATTAATTTTTTGATTTTGATATACTTTGTGGCATGCAGTGTTAAACTTGAAACCCCTATTCCGGGTTGTACTGAACTCGAATTCACTTGTATCTTTGACAAAGACAAACTTGAAATAGATTAATGTAAGATAAACAAATGATGATGCTCTTAGAATGATGACGAATATCTAAGGGTCAAAATTTAAGGTATAACAGAATTCCATGACTGCGGCTAGGGGGACTATTAGTTGCACCTGATGTTTTTCTAGAAACTTCGGGAATGTGTCGTATAAATCTGATGTAAATAGTTTTGGAATGTTGTTGCTTGATATGGTTGGGGGAAGACAAAAGGTAGATTTTGTAGACAAGGGAAGTGGTTTAGGATATTTTCCAAAATGGATTCATAAATTGCTAGAGCAAGGAGATGATTTGAACAAACATATTGAGGTGGAGAAATACACAAAAATAGCAAAGAAACTTGTGATTGCGGGACTTTGGTGTATTCAGTGGCACCCGTTCGATCTTCCTACAGTGCAAGTTGTTGTCCTACAATGCCACCTAATCCATTTGCTTCTGTTGATCCTGCTATAATGAATGTGAGTTTAATTGGAAGACACTTTCATAGAGTGATACATGATTCATGTTAATATGGGCTATACTATGTTCTTCATTTGATGTGTTACAGTTTTTATACAGTTGCTGTTGTGAATGCTTGAAGCTTGTAAACTGAGACTATGTCATCTTGATGTGTTGATAAAGCTTCAATAACATTTGTTTGTGAAATTATATTTGTTTTGATATGATATGAGCCTCTCTAGTCCAGATAATTGGATAGACTGTTGTGATTAACTAATTTTAACTTTCGGATAAGTTTAGTTAATTTCATAGAGTTGATTAGCCTATAGTTACTATAGTTAGTTTGTTATTGGTTGTTAGGTTGATAACAAGCTTTTGATTGGTTGGTTATAAATAAGGTTTTAAACTCTCTTCCCTCCATTTTCAGATTTCAATTGTAATGTATATATTCAGCAACTCTTCATTGAGTTCATAATGAAGCATTACCGTTATTCATCATTAGACTTCATTCTTTCTTCTTCATTTTTTCTTCTTTCATGAGAAAATTGTTTCATCACAATATGGTATCAATCGCTATATCGATCCTTCTCCTGTTGTTATACCTCTGAATGTTTTCTTTTCTTCCAAGGCTTTTCTGGGAGTTCCACCACTCGATCCTATCTTGGATCAAACATCACCATACTTTGTTTATCCAAGTTATTGTTAGATCTTGTGTTAGAGGTCTGCTACGAAACATTAACTAGAAGAAGATGATGAAGATGGTACGATAAAAGTTGCACAAAATAATTTCAAAGTGACACTAAGCTTTAGATTATATTCCCCCCACAAATTTATGCAAAAGAGTTAACCGGCGAATCCCATTCAGGATATTTTGGAAACCTTAACATGAATCACACATTCACATTAAGCATATCGATTAATGATATTCTACTGAATAAAGTTTCCTCATTTATTCTCGTGCAAAAGAAAAATAAAAGAATGACTTAGATATAATTTTTGCCACTTGAAACAAATAGTATTTGTGTCTATTTTATGCCTATCAAGTATCCCTATTTATAGAAATACTTGTACCAATTGGTGAGGAAAAACAATATTTCAATGGTTGAAACTTGACCATTCGCGAACCATTATATATCAATACATAGCAAATAATTTCATGAAAAGTTGTGTTGATCTGATGGTTGCATCTTTTGACCATGCACCCAATCATTATAGGATCTTTGGTTCTATTCTAGACAATTACAACTTTTGGCTATTTATTTTGTTAATTGAACCATTATTATTTACCAATTTAATATTTTGCAAATTTCTCCAACAATCCCCCACCATTTTTAAAATATATCTAAATCCATTATTCAGGAAATTTCTTGGTTTCAGATAAATGTATTTAACAATTTGAACCAATACTTAGTAAGTTAAGTTTTCACTCATTCTCGAATAGATTGGTAGACAAGCTTTGAACCAATTATTGATTAGAACAAGCGTGCATAACTGACATATGAAATCTCAGTACCATTGATCAAATTATTAATATGACACATTTAATAAGGTCTTGTGTCTCATATCCTTTTCATGAAAATTTAAGAGTCAAACCCTTGAACTCTATGAAGCGAC